GAATGCAATTCTTTAGAAGTATTAAAAGTGTATCTGGTTGAATATTTCGAAGATAAATTGATTGAAGATGATCAAGTGATGAATCGATTTTAAATGATAATAGAAATTTGTCAATATATAATTCAGATGATAAATTAAGTGAAAATATCTGATGTGGATTAATAGATTTCATATGTTGATAATTATTTAGAAATAAATCATCAGATTCGAAATCAAATTTAATTTTATATAAAAGTAATGAAGAATTAAGAAGTTGATAAAAATGATAATTAAGATTTGAAAATGCTTTATAAATATCACAACCATCGAGATAATCAAATATTTCATAGAAAATTTCGTTGGAGAAATTCTCAATAGAAATTCTCATGTCTTTGATCTAAAAATTTATAATAAATAAATTCGTTTTTCTCTCTTAACAAAATCGAATGATAACACATTTTTCTTTTCTGTTCGTCTAGTCAGCGACGATGATCGAGAAAAATATACGCATGTCGAGGTGATTTCTAAAATCGACGATAAATACCGCTTATTCATCGATTTTTGGGTAGTTAATTTCAATTTATCAATTAATTAACGGAACGAAAAATTAAAAATAAGTTCTGCATAGTATTCTCTTCGTATTCGTAGAGATTTCGTTTCAATATAGATGTCGCTATTGTAATTGAATGAGATTAGACCCTTTTAAATAGATCGAAATAAATTTGTTCGATTCATTCATTGTTAGATGATTTTCTAATCTCCGAATGGTACAAAGCTAAACAGTTTTGTTTACAGGACGATGTCTTTTTTGTCCAACGTAGTAATGCAGTTCTTATCTTTAGTGAGAATTGTTTTGTTGTTAGATATTTAGAATATGAAAAACCACGGCTATGTGAAATATTCTATGAGTAAGTGTTAGCAATAGAATAGGAGATAAAATTATTTTTCCAGAGCATGGGTATTAATTAGATACAATAACAACAGTCATATGCACACCGAGACATTCCTGTGTTAGATTTTGAACTAATTGTTCTAAAAGTAGAGTTTTTAATACAGTTGTAAATAATACATTTTTACCTCATACACCATCTTGAGAGTGGGTGTGGGAGAAGCTAAGAGAAGACGTACTCATAACTATACTGACACCCACACCCACACCACACCCAATTCACAGCTATACTCTCACCCATGTCCTCACCCACACCCAATCCACAGTCATAAACTCACCCATACCTTCACCCGCATCCAAACCCGCAGCTACACCCTCACCCATACTTAAATCTACATTCACAATCTCACCGATGAAAGAGGAATGAAGTCGTGTGTAATCAATGATTATCACAACACATCAACAGAGTGTGCTGTTAAAGAGAAACTTTTTTGTCTCTCAGAAAATCGTTTGTTAGAATAAAAGACGTGACATATACTAAATGAAATTAAATAGCTCGCTAAAGTTAGTTGAGCCAACACACAGTAGACTGAATCAATATGAATCAAATCTAAACTAAGCGATATAATTGACGCATCGAAGTTTTAATTGTTTCAGAAAGATGGTTCGTTGGTTCAATCAAATTTAACTTTGTTTTAAATCGCCTAGTTTGTTTGTGATCTTAGCTATCTGTTTATTTTCTAGTAAAGAGTGAGTGTGGTTGAGGTTAAGAGAAGAGATACTGACAACCGTACCAACATCCACAGCTATACTCTCACCCATACACAAATCCACAGTCGTACCGCTCACTAACACTCAAATCCGAAGCTATATCCTCACCCATACCTAAATCTACATTCACAATCTCACCGATGAAAGAGGAATGAAGTCGTGTGTAATCAATGATTATCACAACACATCAACAAAGTGTGCTGTTACATAGAAAAAGTTTTTGTCTCTCAGGAAATCGTTTATTAGAATAAAAGACGTGACAAATATTAAATGAAATTAACTAGCTCGAGAAAGTTATTTGAGCCAACACACACCAGACTGAATCAATATAAATCAAATCTGAACTAAGCAATGTAACTGACACATTGAAGTTTTAATTGTTTCAGAAAGATGGCTTGTTGGTTAAATCGCCCAGTGTGTTTGTAATCTTAGCTGTCTCTTTATTTTCAGGTAAAGTGAAATAAAGGTATGTATAATTCACAAGTTTGGATCACACTGATTTACAGCTTATTGAGATTGTCCATGGAGGAGGATTTTAGTCAACATTGGATGATCTACTCGAAAGACAAAACTCACACAGAATGCTTCATCATTAACTTTCGCTATTATTGTCGTTCAGTCATAGTAAATACTATTATCGAATCATGCAAAGATGGAGACGCATGGACTTTCGACAAGTTGGAGAAGTTCAAAGTGACAACTGAAAATTTGATGAATTGGCTAATACCTTTCCATTTAATCGAACAATATGCTGTTCATTTAGATGATAATGAAAATGCCCGTGCAAGTGACACAACGATCTGTAACTGTAGTCAAAATCGAATTGGCAGATACTGCGAATACAATTTCAATCTGAGGATGACTACGCCTGGTGACTGGTTAGGTCAGCAGACGGCCAACATCAATTTAAATAATCACGAAACACTTACAAGACTCGTGGATGGGATCATATGTCCAGGAGCAGATATGTTTCTCGAGTGGCGACATATTTGTGATGGGTTCACTCAGTGCACAAATGGGGCTGATGAACTTAATTGTCATCTGTTGGAATTTTTTAAATGTGAAACCGACGAATTTCAGTGTCGCAATGGAATGTGTATTCCAGCCGAATTTGCCTTCGATGCAACACCTGATTGTATGGATTCGAGTGATGAACAAGCGCTTGATGTGCTCTACAAACGACACTCTCAGTGCGCAAAAGAGTCACCGTCTGAATGCGATGATCGACTGTGTCATAAAGATCAGTTTTCATGTGGAAATGGTGAATGCGTTCCATGGTCAGCAATTCTAAACGACCAGAACGATTGCGGTAACGTCCGTGATATCGCCTACATTTGTGAAACATCGAACTTGGTACTACTGACTTATGGAGAATGGCTTGGTATTTGTAAACAAACGATGGAGTTTGCTCCTCCATTGACAAACAAGTCAGACTGTCGACAAACTCTTGGACATTTACTACAAACTAATCCTTCCCAGCAATTCAAGGATCTTGCCATCATCAATCTCAGAACTCGTTGTGATAATCTAACCTTATATTTAGAGCAAAATGCTTTCTTTCCAGGGTTCAAAATGGTATACAATCGCTCTCGTATTGAAGTATTCATCAGCAATCCAAGTAATTCACGCAGACCGATACCAAAGACACCCGATCTATACTATTTCACTGGTGCTATCGTCTGCGGCGCGTTATCATTAAATATATCGGAAAAAATCTGGTTTACCCATCAAGAATTGCAAGAACTCAGTTCTTATCCATTTTTTCCACTTGGTTTGTCAAAAAATAATGAATGAGTCGTTGAATAATATGAACACTGAAAATAATTTGGATTCATCAACCACACCATCGTCCTACCGATGCAAAAATACATCAGATCGTGTGTCGTTACGTCGAGTCAATGATGGTTATATCGACTGTCTTTATGGTGATGATGAGAGAAATCCCGATTATTCAATGACTCAACTGTTTCGTTATCAATGTCAAACTGTCACATCCCCATCTCAATATGTCAGCTATGCTAAATTAGGTGACGGTGTGATGGATTGTGCCGATGGAAGTGATGAAGTATCCAATGAGATCCGCTGGTCAACCTTCAAATGTGATGTGAATGATAACTATGCATGTTGGGTTTTTCAAGGCGATCAGTTCGGAGAGAATCGTCTAAAAGACGCCCGACTTCACTTTCATCGTTATTGTGATTCGATCTGGGATATAATGGATGGCCGAGACGAAAGGAACTGCTCACATTGGATATGTGATTCTGGTTTGTACAAGTGCAATCGAACAGGACAATGCATCGAGCGAAAATATATTTGTGATGGAGAACTTGATTGTGATGATGGCGAGGATGAAGTCAGTTGTCCTCAGGTATTACAGAAATGGAAATTTGAACTGAACTGTAACAATCTCACTGAATATTTTTGTATAACTGCTGAGTATATCAAGAATCAAAGTTTGAGTCGTTCTTGTATTCATCGAAGTCGAGTAGGTGACGGGCATATTGATTGTATTGGAGCTCGTGATGAACGTAATGTTGCATCGT